CGAGGACCCCCTTTTTCTTTACTTGTCGATAATCAGTGTCGTAACGACAGAACGACAGAGAGGGGGAGGAAGAATATTTTTTAAAGAAAGAAAAGGTCGTTATATGAATGGCAAAATAAGGGCAACACTATTCCCCTAATCTGAGTCCTTGTATATAAACCAACATTTCATGTAATGAGCGAGACAGGTGCCCATCCCCAATGAAGCCAGTGCCCCGCAATGGTTGCACTCATTCTAATATACACTATACCATGGCCGATGCCCGTAAAATACGCTGTTGCCCCCACCCCCCCCCCCCCCCACTCAGTGTTATTTAGGGTACGCACATGCTTGTTCCCTCTTTTTGAAAGCACCCCCTATCTGAGGACTGCCAACATTTTCGAACCCCCCTTTCGCGGGCTTTTCGCGAGCTTTTCCTGCCTTGGAGACCCCCCTAAATCAGGAAAAATGCTCTATGTAACCCCCTAAATTCGGAATAATTTCTCAGGAGTCCAAAGAGATGAGAGAAAAAAAAAGAAAAAACACCCCCTTTTTAAAGAAATCTCCGGGTGAAAAGTCAAATACACCCTTTTTTTGACAATTCTCGGGCCGGACTTTGTCGCACGAAAAGTACCCCTTTACCAGGCGCGGATCCAGGGGGGGGGGGGGCGAGCGGGCCTTGGCCCCCCCCCCCCCCGCAAAAAAAAAAAAAAAAAAAAAAAGAGAGAGAGAAGAAAGGAAAAGAAGGGAAAGGGAAAGAGGAGAGAAGGGAAAGAAAGAAGAGAAAGAAAAAAAGAAAAGGGGGAAGAAGGAGATCGGGGGGGGGGGGGGGGTCGAAAGGGCCTTGCCTCCCAGGCTGTTGACCCCCCCCCCCCCAATAAAAAAAAATAAGAGAGAAGGAAGGAAAGGGAAAGAAATGACATAATTCCGAGATTTTTCCTCACTTTTGAGTAAATACGTTTGTATGTGTTTGTTGGAGAATGACAAAAAATTACTAAATTTACAGCCAGGCAAGAAATATGATTCTTGAGATTCCTACATGTCAGGCCCGAGGTGGGGCGGGGATCGGGAGCCTCGAGCTCCCTCCCCCCCCCCCCACTTTTTTGAAAAAGTATATTGAAGAGAAATAAAATAGAATGAGAGCAAGAAAGAAACAATAGTTAACTGCCATTGTTAAAAATTAATAAGGCATATTATGCTCATCTGACCGTGATTAAATGCCTAGAACCCCTAAGCTCCCGGGGGCTCTGCCCCTGGATTCCACCTAGGACCCTACGGCGGGCCCTTAGATGCTCATCTGACGGTAATTTAATGCCTAAAACCCCTGATTTGGGGGGGGGGGGCTTCGCCCCCTGGAACCCACCAGGGGCCCTAAGGCTGGCCCCTAAATGCTTGCGGGGTCGGACAAGGTATCAAAATGTGTTTATCTGACCGCAGGCGCGTAGCCAGGGGGGGGGGGGGGGGCGGTCCCCCCAAATCGGAAGAGGACGTAGGAAGAAAAAAGAGCAGACAAAGAACACATTTAAAAAAGGATTAAGAGTATAGACAACGGTACAACGCATCGTCTTCTTTCTCTAATAATTTAAAGCTTCGCTCAGGAGGGGAGGGGGGGGGGGAACTGAATTCAGACAAGGATTAAGAATCGAGAACGGTACAGCGAATCGTCTTCTTTCTCTCATAATCTTGTGAAACGTCAAAGCTTCAGCGCGAAGCGCAAGAGTTGGGAACCTGAATTCAGACGAGGATTCAGAGGCGAGAACGGTAATACGAATCTTTAATGATTTAATGAAACGTAAAAGCCTCCGCGCTTTGCGCGGGATGGAGGGGAAACTATATTCCGACGAGGATTATTTTTCGTGAACGGTACAACCAATCGTCTTCTTTCTCTAATGAGTTAATGAAAATTAAAAACTTCCGCGCTTCGCGCGGCAGGGGGTAACCTGAATTCAGACGAGGATTTAGAGTCGAGAACTGTACAGCCAATCGTCTTCTTTCTCTCATAACATTATGAAATCTAAAAGCTTCCGCGCTTTGCACGGGAAGGGGGGAGGGGGGAGGGGGACCTGAATTCGGACGATGATTAAGAGTCGAGAACTGTACAACGAATCGTCTTCTTTCGAATGATTTAATGAAACGTAAAAGCTTCCGCGCTTAGCGCGGGATGGGGGGAACTGAATTCAGACGAGGATTAAGAGTCGAGAACTGTACAGCCAATCGTCTTCTTTCTCTCATAATCTTATGAAACATAAAAGCTTCCGCGCTTCGCGCGGGAAGGGGGGGGGGGGGACCTGAATTCGGACGATGATTAAGAGTCGAGAACTGTAAAACGGATCGTCTTCTTTCGAATGCTTTAATGAAACGTAAAGGCTTCCGCGCTTCGCGCGGGAGGGGGGGGGGAATGAATTCAGACGAGGATTCAGAGGCGAGAACGGTAATACGAATCTTTAATAAATTAATGAAACGTAAAAGCTTCCGCGCTTCGCGCGGGATGGAGGGGAAACTATATTCTGACGAGGATTATTTTTCGAGAACGGTACAACGAATCGTCTTCTTTCTCTAATGATTTAATGAAAATTAAAAACTTCCGCGCTTCGCGCGGGAAGGGGGGGGGGACCTGAATTTGGACGAGGATTAAGAGTCGAGAACTGTACAACGAATCGTCTTCTTTCGAATGATTTAATGAAACGTAAAAGCTTCCGCGCTTCGCGCGGGAGGGGGGGGGGGAGGGACTGAATTCAGACGAGGATTAAGAGTCGAGAACGGTACAACGAATCGTCTTCTTTCTCTAATGATTTAATGAAACGTAAAAGCTTTCGCGCTTCGCGCGAGAGGGGGGGGGGGGACCTGAATTCAGACGAGGATTAAGAGTCGAGAGCTTTCCAAAGAATCGTCTTCTTTCGAACGATTTAATGAAACGTAAAAGCTTCCGCGCTTAGCGCGGGAGAGGGGAACTGAATTCAGACGAGGATTAAGAGTCGAGAACTGTACAACGAATCGTCTCCTTTCGAATGATTCGCGCGTGATGTAGGGGGAACTAAATTGCGACGAGGATTATTTTCGAGAACGGTATAAAGAATCGTCTTCTTTCTCTGATTCAATGAATCATAAAAGCTTCCACGCTTCGCGCGGAAGGGGGATACAGATTTCAGGCGAGGATTAGAGTCGAAAACGGTACAACGAATCGTCTTCTTTCTCTAATGATTAAAGGAAACTTAAAAAGCTTCCGCGCGAAGCGCGGGAGGAGGGAACCTGAATTCAGACGAGGATTAAGAGTCGAGAACTCTCCAAAGAATCGTAATAATTTAATAAATCGTAAAATTTTCCGCGCTTCGCGCGGGAAGGGAAAAACCTAATTCAGACGAGAATTATTTTTGAGAACGGTGCAACGAATCGTCTTATTTCTCTAATAATTTAATGAAACTTCAAAACTTCCGCGTTCGCGGAGGAGGGAGGGGGAAACTCGCCCCTCCCTGCATCGACCCCCCCCCCCCCGCGCATTACGTCATTGTTGGTCACCATTACGTACCAATATTTAGCTCGCATAATTTCAAATTTGGGCCCCCCTAAGAAATCCTGGATCCGCGCCTGCCCTTTACCGAACATTTTGGCAACACGCATGCGGTCATTCCGACCTCTAAGTGGGAGGGGGGGGGGGGTGTTGCCCATAAAGATCGAATAATTTTGTTCTTACCTCTTCTTGAAGTGAATATGAGCATATGGTTATTTTTGATAGATTCGGTTTATATCTTCTAAGAACTTGATTGATCAATCTAAACAGTCATAGAGATTGATCAATAAACGTATGGGTAGATATAAACTTTCTGTATCAAGAATAAACCATATTGTCATAATCGTTAAATGAAAAGAGGTAAGAAAAACTTTATTTAGCCTTATACTATAGGCAAAAGTGTAATAAATTCAAACGACCCCACGGCCCCATCCACATTCGAAATGTGCCCCGATACCTGTAAATACTAAATCTAAGAGAGTTGTTTCTACCTTTCATTAAAACTTCATTACGTATACAGGGGCGGAAATCTTTTTAATCCAACTAATTAAATCATTTAATCTACCTTATTAACTCTATTGACTCATGTAAGAGTCAATGCACTCCTTATGTAATATTGATGATCTATCATGACTCCTAGGCAGGACTTCAAGTTAAAGTCGTATGTGTGTGAGAAAGAGAGAGGGAGAGAGAGAGAGAGAGAGAGAGAGAGAGAGCGAGAGAGAGAGAGAGAGAGAGAGAGAGAGAGAGAGAGAGAGAGAGACCGGGGGCGACGAAAAAAAAAACAGTGGTGAGAGAGGAAGAGAAGGGAATATTAATAATAATAATAATAATGATAATAATAATAATAGTAATAATAATAATGATAATAATGATAATAATAATAATAATAATATTAATAATAATAATAATAATAATAATAATAATAATGACAATAATGATGATGATGATGATAGTAATAATAATACTCATCATCATCATCAAAATGATATATAGGTTTTGATTAATGAAATAAGAGAGAGAAAACAAAATATGTCCAGCAACATGCGTGTCGTGAATGTGATTTCTTTTTGTAAATGCCAGAGCTATGAGAATAACTGTCAAGCGCCATCTACAGTCAAATTCAAGTTAATGTTCAAACATCTATTCATTGAGAATTCCGTCGAAAATATTTAGAATTATTTTACCCCACTTCTAGCCGAGTTGATCTCCTTCTTATCATTCTTAAATCTGTTTTCGCCTTCGACAGATTTACAATTAGGTCATTAACTCTTCCGTTTCATTCGACTGCAGAAGAAGAACAAAGAGAAAATGGAAAAGGAGAAGGAGAAAGAAGAGAAAGAAGAAGAATAAGAAGTAAAGCATAATGAAAATAAAAAGAACTTTAAGGAACGAAAGAAAGCATTATCATCATATCTTGTAAATCTTTATTTCATTATCAAAATATTAAGATAGGTGCTGACTTAGCGGCCGTATGTCATTACAAATGAAGAAAACACAAAGAAAACAGATATGGACCAGCAAACCAAAATAGAATAGTAATATTATTAAATCGATTAAATTTAATGTGTATTTATTGAAATAAATTGTTAGAATGTATTAACAAAATCACATTTCACATACGAAACAAATCATTGATAAAAACTTCATTAGAATCAATCATTTGAAGGCAAAATTCAAAAAATTAAAAATAGAAAGAAAAGCAAACTCTCATGCTGACATAGTTTAACCTAATGTACAGAACTTTTTCGTTACTTTACTAAATATAACCTTCATAAATTGTACAACTTTTATATAATTGTATATATACATGTAAATACTCATTATCATCACCATCATCGTCGTCATCATCATCGTCATCATCATCACCACCATCATCTTCCTCATCAACATCATCATCAACATCATTATCATAGTTATTTTCATCATGATAGTAAGCAGTAAACAGAAAAGCGAATTTATCCAATCCATGACAAGCAATCCGTAGCTATACGTATTAAATTAAAATTAGTAAAATAAATAAAGGTACAAAAATTAAAAAGAAATGAAAAGCTTGAACTCGATTGTCTGTTCGACCACAAACAGTTTCATGAACACTGCCCTCTCGTGATAAGGGACAGCAAGTCAACAATCGCATTATTTTATTTCCCCTTGCTTACTTGCGCCTTAATATTATTAATTATTAAAAAAAGGTTATCATGTGGTTTGAGGTCCTGTGAAAGCTTAGATACATTGGATCACTTTAAACAACGAAGGGCGGAGGCATTAAACAGAATTTAACGTTTAAAAGAATTTAAGACCTCGGTAACATAAATATATTACCTGACCAACGTGCGGTTCATTAGCCAAAGCTTGGTACAAGATTTTGACGGCACTTTTTAAAGAACCTAGTGCTCAGTCATCCGTATGAATATGGTATAAGTTTATACAGAACACAAATTATTCTTTACCATCAAAAAGATTTCAAGGCAACATTGATTATTAATTTTTAATAATAAGCTACCAAAGTGGGGTATACTTTTTTTATACGCACTGTAGATACAATTTAAAGCAAACAGTTTGCAAGCTGCTTAAACAATAATCAATATCTTCTGCAATATAATTTTTAGATAAATAATTGTTGTATGAAAGGTATATCCTAAATTCAAAAAATATTTGATGCATATATATATATATATATATAACGAGAGCAAAGACCTTCGAAAATGTTAAAAGTAATACAATTATTATGGCCTTTTAAATCACAAATTGAATTGTGCGAATATTAACATGACGTATTACGCAACCCGAACATGATTTCCTTGCTATAAAAGTGCATTGAAATTACCCATGAGTTGTTCTTTCCATGGGTTTGGTGTTCTTGTTATTTCATAATATAGCCAACAGTAGTTATGAGTATACCTTTAACAGAAAGTCCAAACAATCATAACTTTCGTATTATTGGTCCAAAACTATTTTAAACTTTTACCATTTATTCTGTTTCTCTTATTTTCTTGCTTTCATACAAAGGAACGACATATAATTATAAATGTTGGATTGCCCTCGTTGTTAATAACGATATAATTATGAATGTTATTACATTTCGAACTTCATCGGTTTACATTCATCGGTTTGTTTCCATCGGTTTCCTTCATATATAGTTTAACTTCCATTGGTTTGCTTTCGTCTGGTTGCGTCCTATAAATTTCCTTAATCGGTTTTCTTCCTTCGGTTTGCCTGGTGGTTTGTCTACATCAGCTTGCACTCGTCGGTTTCGTTCAGCGGGCCGTATCCATCGGTTTTCCTTAATCGGTTTGCATCCAATGTATGTCCTACATCGGTTTGCATCCATGGCATCGGTTTGCCTAAATCACCTTGCCTTTATCGATTTGCCTTCACCGGTTCGCACCCACCGGATTTCCATCATCGGTTTACCTCAGTCGGTTGGGCTTCATCGGGTTCCTAAAAAAAACGCTGAGGCGCTTATGTTGTCTTATGTTGTTGAAGGTTAGCCATGACAAATTGCACTAAATTATTTGTCATATTTTCTGGCTACCAATGTACAAACAAAAATTCCCAACATTTATTGAATTCTTACATCAAAGTGTACGTATTCTATCTGTACATGCGGTATTCTAACTTCATTCTAGTTAGTTTTTCACCATATAAATTCTTGACAAATATTTTTTTTTTAAATTCTTATCACCAATGTAAGACAGGTGTGCCCGATTTGAATCTCCTTAACTGTCGCTTTGTCAAAATGTGAACAGTTTGGCGAAACGCATTCAAATAATTGAGATCAACACATCATGTGACGTGTAATTGACAAAGAATTTGGCATGCAATCGTCCTACCGGGTAGCCTGGTACCCGAACCTGCTTCTGAAGTACACTATGTACAATCTGGAGGAAAGCACTGTTCAGTTTCGCTGTGAGAAACGACTGGACACCATGCAGAGTGACGTTACTCGTGCGATCGAAATGTGCGTTCTGGAATAATAGCCAGCGTTATAGTAAAATGTGTGGATATGACCCAGCCATTGAACTAATATAATGAACAGTATGTCTCTAAAATCTTTGGAACAGTGACATATCACGTTGCATTTGGAAAGCCAGAGTGTAATCAGACTAATCAGACAAATTTCAAGGCAGTAATTGAAAGATTCATCTCCGATTAATACAAATCAGTTCTGCAACAGCAAAGGCAGCTTCTAATTCAAAGGCATTATGCAGTTTAGTCTAAAACGTCTAAGACTAAAAATGTAAAATATAAAGTATCTTCTTACAGTTTTACTCTTTTTCAGTTCTAACTGTTGCAAAACCACCAGCAAGGCAAAAATGCACGAATTAGCCTAAGCACCATGATTATGACGTCATCCCGACGCGTTGTTTTTATACAAATCACCCCGGACACCATTCCGCACCTTCTTTAATTCTGTTCAAAGTAAATTGCTCAACACAAGGCAAATTGTTACTATTTGGTTCTTGTTCCATAGATTCAAGTTTTGTTTGCGACGACAAAAACTAGATCACGTGACCACGACGTCATCGCGACAGATCGGATTCCAGCGTTAGCTCGGATTGTCGGCTTTCGGATTGGTTTGAGAAGCGCTGCGGTTTCCGCCTTCCCTGGGGTCCGTGTATCCGCTTGTACGGTTTCAACTGGGGCGTTTCAATGACAATCTACAAAATAAACACATCAACAAGAAAAATGTTATCACCTCATGAAAGTACATAGCGGTTTCTATTATTTCTTTTTTTACGAAATTGACGTTATTCTCAATTAGAAATAAATAAATCTATATATAGCTCATTTTCTCTCACGGCATACTTAGATATGTCTTGCGGCATCCCAGGGTGCCGAGGCACTCCGATTGATAAATGCTGCTCTATTGCACTTTGATGGAAACAAACATCTCCTAACATTGCTACTTTACAGACACACAATAAAACAAAACTATCCAAAAGCTTCTGAAAACAAGTGCGTCTTCAACAAAACTTTGAAAACAGCAACATAATTTATGAGGCTTTCCTTATGCCTAGTGGTAGGTTTTTCAAAGTTTTTGAGCGGCATAACTGGCCTGAAATATACTCTAAATTGATCAGGAAGTGATTTTGAGCATTTTCAAATGTTGACGCGCTTTTAGGAGCAGGTTATGATACACACATGGACACTATATAACATAACGGATATTGACCCTTGACCTGAAGTTAAGTTAAGGCTTGTTAAGAAAATATGATTGATATTGCGATTTCACAATAATTGTCGCCTAGATGACGTCACGTTTGAGTGATCATACTGAAAGCGAGAGGTCTTCTAGTCCTGACCAGGGGGAATTAGTGGGGCAAAATTGAGTGATTGAATGGTGCGTGATTTTTTAAAGAAAATGTGACCACACAAAAAGTTGCAGAAAAGAAAGAATAAAGAATTTTTTTTAACCATAGAACAAAGATTCTGACGAAATCAAGAGGTGATATGCAGATTTGCTGCAGATCACCTACTAATAGTAATGATAATAATAATATTATATAGCACAGTTCAACGAAGAATGGGTTCTCAAAGAGTTTTACATACACACATTTTATGAACACGGAGGAGATCGATGTATATACTTATAATTACAATTTTAAGTATATGATATAACAAGCTAAGCTTCTTCTCAATTAATACTCAAAATAAGGATAATATATTGTCATTTTTAAAGGTAGGTGTCAGGGGCGGATCTAGCTTTTTGCTAAGGGGGGGTTGACCAAAATAATGACGATGCGGAGCATCGTCCACGAGCCGCGAAGCGGCTAGCCGATTTTTTTGGGGGGTGTTTATTTGAACCCCGTAAGTGATGTTTTCCTGGCATCTATTAACACAATGGAGACCATAAAAAGCAGTGCATGATAACGTCTTTTTAAATCAAGTAACAGTTAAATACACAGTTATATCCAGAGTTATCATGTGTTTGGTTAAGTTACCAGATGAGTTGAATATCTTCTCACAATATTTGCACTTGAAAGGGTTTCTCTCCAGCGTGCGTTTTTTTTTCTTTTTTTTTTTTTTTTTTTTGGGGGGGGCGCCCAAGGAGGGGGGGGGGGGTTAAACCCCCTAAACCCCCCCCCCGTAGATCCGCGCCTGGGTGTGGGCAAAGAAATTTACTTACGTCATCAAAGGAGATCTCAGGCGTAGTGTCAGGTGATGTTGTATCTGGCGATGAGGGCGGGTTGCTGGAACCACTTGGACTCGTGTTGTACTTCTTCTTCGGTTTAGGCGCAATGGGAGGAGGGGTAGGTCTGTAGTGGTGGAGGGATAGGGAAAACAAAGATGGAAAATCAAATTAAAAAAGAAGTTGTCATTTTGGGGATATAAAGTGTAAGTGACAATGGTGATCCAGGCCTATCTCCAGGGCCCCGTCTTATAAAGAGTTGCGATTGATTAGAATTAAACGAAAGTCTTCCAATCAATCGCAAAACTTACAAACCTCTTTCTCTTTAGCACAACTTTGTAATAAATGTTAATCGATCGTAATTTTTTGGTTCAATTCAAATAAATTCATTTCTATAACTCAATCAACACATGAAAAAATACCTGCATACAATTATTACCAAATGAAATGTGCAATAACACATAGAAAAAGAAACTGAAGGGAGGGGTAGATCCATGTGTTCATCACCCTATCTCTTCACACATAACACACATCATCATCATCGTCATCTTCTACCCCCACATCTTAGCGTATGGCGTCATAACATTCCCGCACAGCTTAGACGCAGGTGTAGATGATATCTGCAGTGTTATAGCAATTATATATCAATGATAGAGGGAGGGAGGAAGAAGAAAAAGAAAGCAAGAAAAAGAAAGCAAGAAAGAGAGAAAGAGAGAGAGAGGGAGAGAGTGAGAGAGGGAGAGGTGGGAGGGAGAGAGAAAGAGAGAGAGAGAGAGAGAGAGGGAGAGAGCGAGAGAGAGAAAGAGAGAGAAAGAGAGAGAGAGAAGAGAGAAAGAGAGAAGAGAGAGAGAAAGAGAGAGAGAGAAAAAAGAGAGAGAAAGAGAGAGGAAGAAAGAGAGATAGAGAGAGGAAGATAGAGAGAGGAAGAGAGAGAGAGGAGAGAGAGAGAGAGAGAGAGAGAAAGTCTGCACCCCCCCCCCCACACACACACCCACACACACACACACCACACGCAGACACAACATTACCATCATCATTATCATCACCCACTCTACAGATACGCACACGACGCCTTCACATTCATGCACGGCTGTAAGGCGCAGGTGCAGATGATAAGCGCATTGATAGAGCAAATTAGATGGCAACACGAATGGTCGCAGTCGGCACATAACCAATATGATGACGACATTAATAACTGTAAGTGGCTTCAAACGTGTCAATTATTATGTTCGCTATAAGAGTGAAGGGTCTAACAATTTTGAAAATTGGGGGAGGAGGGGGATAATGTTCAAGATAATGATGATGGTGACGATGATGATGATGATGATGATGATGATGATGATGATGATGATGTTGTTGTTGTTGTTGCTGTTGCTGATGATTGTAGTGATGATAAGCATGATGATGTTCATAAAGATGATGACAAATAAGAAGATGATCATGATGATGATCACGATCATAATTAAATGGTAATGGTGATGGTGTTGGTGATGGTGTTGGTGATGGTGGTGGTGATGGTGGTGGTAATGATGATGGTGATGATGAAAATTATAAAGACTAATTTGATGATGATAGACTTCGATGGCGATGATGATGATGATGATGATGGTGGTGGTGTTGATGACGATGATGATGGTGATTATGATTATGATAATGATGATGATGATGATTATTATGATGATGATGATGATGATGATGATGATTATGATGATGATGATGATGATGATTATGATGATGATAATGATGATGATGATGATGATGATGATGATTATGATGATGATGATGATGATTATGATGATGATGATGATGATGATAATAATGATGATGATGATGACGATGATGATTATGATGATTATGATGATGATGATGATGATGATGATGAATTTGTTGATGATAATGATAATGGTTTGTAAATAACAAAAGGAGGTTTGGCGAAACAAAAGGAGGTTTGACCTCAAACCTTGGTCTGAGCTCAAACCTTGCTTTGTGAATTCGGGCCAATGAGGGCAGACTTACTTGTTTGTCTTTGGTCTGTGTCTGTCCCTTGGTTTCCCAGCTGACCGTCTCTGTTTGTTTGACCGTGACGTAGTCGCCTCCTCGCTTGATGACCAATCACTCTCCTCGCTGTCCTGGTCGTGACCAACTGTCCGATACAACAAAAATAAAAACAGATATAGAAGTTATAAACTAACCACTACAAATGAAACCAAAATATAAAGACGTTACAATTTGAATATTAGAAAGTAATTAAACAAAAAGGTAAAAAGTTACCTTTAGAATACAAATCTAAAATATTTAAATTACACCTACAGGTAATAGAAAATAAAACAAACACACGGTAAAAAACCGATCATAAGATCATGAACCAGACACAGATATTGGACATTATAAATTAAACTAAATATGGAAGTTAACAATAATAAACAATTATGAAATATATTTCAATAACATTAATGAAATGTCCCTTGTTTTAATGATAGCAGAATGAAATGTAACGTGCCTGTACAAGGTGCATGCAACTCATGGAAATGGCATTAGTTTTCAGTCAAGTATTAATAACATGATTCAGGCTCAGGTTAAAGGAGGAGGGGGAGGGGCGGGGGCGAGGGCGAGGATCACGTTCACATAAGCATTATCATTTTGTTCCCTATCATCATGATCATTATCATTGTCAAAATCAGTCACAGCCATCATCATTTCATCGTCATCTTCCTATTCCCCATCAGCATAATCCTCCTCGACATTATCGTTAGCATCATTACTATCACCATCATGATCACCATGATGATCATCATCATCACCATCATGATCATCATCATGATCATCATCATTACCATCATCATTCTCAAATCATCATCATCCTCCTCGACATTATCGTCATCATCATTACCATCATCATTACCATCACCATCATCATCATCGCCGCCACCATCATCATTCTCAAACCATCATCATCCTCAATACCGTCATCATCACCATTATCATCTTCGTCACCGTAACAAAATATCCACATCGTCTTCATCTTGAAGATGCTCCTCAGTATCATTACTCACAATTGCCTTCACCGACACCCTTTAAATTGTGACTTGCCGTCGCATTAGGATTCAAATGCTGGACAATACTGTCAATAATGGGCTTCGTTACCATGGTAATATGCAATTTACGCCCGGTGCTAGTCCACCAGAACGTAGGCGTTAATCGTCTATACACTTGGCATTTTACGCCAAATATGTGACTTATTGTTTGTGCAGCACATCGCTCAGACGCAACACTTGAAACTCAATTCAATCAGCATGTACATTTTCTTTTTTTCAGAGAAGGGAAAAGGAACTGTTGTATACAAATTTAGGGTAAAAAACGCTTTAGTCCTGTCATAAACACTAAAACAGTTCTATGCACGAGAAGAGAAGAGAAGAGAAGAGAAAGAGATAGAAGAGAGAGAGAGAGAAAGAGAAGGAGAAAGAGAAAGAGAAAGAGAAAGAGAAAGAGAAGAGAGAAAAAGAGAAAGAGAAAGAGAAAGAGAGAGAGAGAGAGAGAGAGAGAGAGAAGGGGATACGAAAGAGCATATAATTGGTGAAATACGAATATAAACATATACATTCAAGGCTATGCATTGTATTATAAGTACACCTGTTTGCGCACCACGCAAATACATAATCTTGTTACCATAAAGCATACAAATGCAAGCAAATCTACACATCACTGTTTTTATCACCATAGCATTGTACTTGCTTTTATCAGGAAATTAACAGCTCATAACTAATATTTGCATGCCTCTGGAATTCCGCAATCTATTTTGGGCTCAATTGAAGTTGTGGAATAATAATATCCTTCTTCCTCTTCCATGTCTGCGGCTGGTCATAATATAGGAATGCTATACCATAACATTGGTACAAGTTCTTAAAGAGATACAATATATTCAAAGCCAAATCACAGAATATGTCTTGTAAAAAGGTCTGCCGAAGACAAAAGGTATATACTCAATCTTAATGACGTACCTATATTAATAAACACATAAACTCACTTTAGCAGTGAAAGTGAAAACCAAAGACCTTCGCTTAGCAAGCAGGGAAAAACAAGTCTGCTAATAAACACATCAAACATGTATGTGACTTGTATGAACGTTCTAATACATGACAGCTATAATGCCTACTTTGCAGCTTAAGAGTATTTTAGTTGCCAATATGGCTTTGCAAGGTTTTTATGAATATTATCCAAAAAAAATTGGTCCAGGTATTTAATAAAACTCGCATTAATTTGGACTTTGACATCAGCCTCAAACACATTAGTCCCAATCAATACAGGTTCATATTTACATTGTGTTTCTTTGTGTCAATACTGTATAATACGTGTACCTCTCTTTTCATCAAATATGTCGAGATACATATTCAGAGAAACCCAACCGAAGTCTATGTACAGTGTGATAGGCCACTATCAGGTCAATTTGTCTGAATTATTTGATTAAGTTGATTTGAAACTCCGTTGAGATTGAAAATGAAAACATTAACCATTATTGTAATGATTGTAGTTGTTATTATGATTAACATTCTCATTCTTCTTCTAATTATTATTATTCTGATTAGTTTGTATCATTATTATTGATATTATTATATTATGTAGTAGTAGTAGTAACATCAGACGTAGTAGTAGTATAAGTAGTAGGAGTAGTGGTAGTAGTGGTAATCATCGCAATAGTATCATAATCATCATTGCTCCAATTGCCATGAATTATTTCATTTCCCCTATGGTTTGCCTTGGTTGTAAAAGTAGATTTTTTCTTCAAATAATTCGCAATTCCAGAAGTTACCAATAAGAATCTAATCGCTCTGTATATTTCTGAAACAGTTCTCTTGACTTTAAGAAGTTATATACTTCGAGAATATGGTAGGTATGCAGACAATGTAAGGCTTCCGGGGAGTAATTTCCATTTGCAAAGAAGTTTCGGTTTTCACTTAGAAAATAAGTATCGTGTACTCGATCGTGTAACGTTGCGAGCGGTACATTCATTTAAAATCACATACATTTTTATTTAAAAAATATATAATTCAAATGTGTCAACATTTAGAAACACACGCTTAAAATAGTACTAGTAAAATAGGAAGAGTTGAACATGTTAACCGTGTGGGCATTCCGCTTGAATCAAAATTTCAAACAAACCATCATCATGCATTGATTTCCAAGAGCATGCCGTTGCCAGGTAACGAATAGACTTTGACGATGGTTCCCTATCGAGCTTTCGGTCATTTTTGAGGAGAAGCAGAGGAAAAGTGGGGTAAGGGGGGGGGGGGGGGGGAGGGGTGTCACAGGCAGACTTGAATTATTTCTTACCGACCTATCTATTCATCTTTGAAGTATTACTACTACTACTACTACTACTACTACTACTACTACTACTACTACTACTACTACTTCTGCTGCTCCTACATGTACCACTATTACTACTACTAGTAGCGCTGCTGCTGTTTATGCTACTAATACTACTACAAACGCCGCAACCAACACTACTATCAATTACAGTTACTACTATTTCTACTAATATTACTACTACTGCCGCTTCTACTTCTTCTACTACTACTTCTACAACTTCTTCTGCTACTACTACTACTACTACTTGTTAAGCATATTCAAAACATCGTTTATTGTTGCACTATGCTTCGATGATGGAATTCAAACATCGAACACCATGGCCCCTCCCCTCACAGTATGATAACTAGACACCGTTCTCTTTGGTCTCTCGTGGCAAGTATTACTCATCACTCAAGTATTCAACATCACCAGACATGAAACACTTTATTCGTTCTCCCCTCTATTAAAAGCATCGTTTAACAATATTAAATCTGAGATGCGTGGCCCTTTGTGTTATCAGTTTTTTTATATGGTGTAACATTGAAACCCTAAATAAATTGCGCTTCAAATGATCATTTCCCCCAATAGACTGTAGCGTTATAAACACCATTAAGAAAACGCAAAATTTGATTTTGATTTCCAATTATAAGTATCTTGATAATCAGACAGGCGATCGGCTTGTAAAAGTCTTGGGATTCCTGACTGACCTAAAGGTATATAATTATGATTGCATCATGAGCTAAATCCAGGATTTTGTTTCAGAATCTGAGGCAATGTTACCGAGTCACTTTAAAAATCTTTCCAAGTGACGACGCATTACTCACTCCATAGCATTACTGTACATGAATGATAAAGTCAGGCACAACCATCACAACATGCACACGATGATGTATCTTCATTATATTCAATGCACTCCCGGATTACAACATTAAGTTATTTTATTCCATATGTCTGATTTTGTTGTTGGAGGTGGGGGTGGACCTTGTCTCTACAGGGTAATTCATGTTTATATTTGATTTGTAATCATTTCATATGATATGTTCAGGTGCCTTCTGTTTTACAAGCTTTGTGCATTTTGTGGGAAGGTATCCTTTCATCTATTATTTTGCCAATTTATGTATTCACGACTGTTTATATGCGTTGTCTTTTCATTTTCGGATGATAAATAAATAAAATTGAATCGAATTGAATAGGCCATTATGTAACGTAACGTAAGTTAATACATAATTCTTTGTGAAGTGCCTCAATACAAATTATGTCATTCACTTGATAATAATAATAGTATTTTTATATTCGGATTGGAAACGGCATATATTAAGTAGTGCTAGGTAGGGCAATCCATAATGTCTGTCCTACCTGGCAACAACTAATTTTTCATTTCGGATTCTGTCTATTGAAATATTATTATTCATATCAGGTGATTGAAATAGTTTCTATCGAGGCACTTCACAAAGACGTATGCATTGAATTTGGTTACATTACGAAAATCGCTTTCATTTTTTTTTCTCTCTCTCTCTCTGTCTCTCTCTCTCTCTCTATATATATCTCACTCTCGCTCTCTCCTCTCACTCTCGCTCTCTCCTCCTCCTCTTTCTCTCTCCCCCATCGCTTTCATTTAAATTCTCTCTCTCTCTCTCTCTCTCTCTCTCTTTCTCTATCCCTTCCCTCTCCCCAGGGTGATGAGTACGTGTAAAGCCTAATCTGTTCACCTATCTTGTTTTTCCTTTTTTTTTCTCATTCTCAAAATATTATGCGTCCTGGTATTTCCTCCTTCTTCGCATGTTGATCTATCTCTCCTTCTCACCCCTTCCCGCTCGCTCTCCTTTTCACCCCTTCCCCATCGCTCTCCTTCCCGAATCGACTAGTGCTGTTATATTTGTATAGCCTCTATCACGTGACAAGGTAAAATCGATGTTTAGGCTTTGTACAGCCGCCTATTCTCATTAGGTACAGATTCTGGGTTAACATCTTCCTTAGATCGCCTGCGTTTAAGTTACGTAATGTTCTCCATGCTTCATTGAACGCGTATAAGGAAAGAATATTGTCGACGTCTTTTAAAATGTTCTCTCCATACCACTTCTCTCTCTCTCTCTCCCTCCTTTTCCACCACCCTCTTCCTGTATCTCCCTCTCTCCTCTCTTCTTTCCTTTCTTCAGCTCCATTCCCCTTCTATATGTCTGTCTCTCTGTCTCTCTCTCTCTCTCTCTCTCTCTCTCTCCTTCCCTTCCTCCCTCTACCCCCTCTCTCTCTTTGCCCCTTCTCTTTCTCACATCCACCCACGGTGTCTTTTCATTCTTATTGTAAAAATGTATGAATCCATGTGGCATAATTATATGGCTAAATGGTCTCTTTTACATGCTGGCCTGTTTCCTCTTTCAACCCTTCTACCCGTCTTTACATACAGGTCATAGGTCATGTAGATCTAGATAGTTACAAAGGGCGTGTAATAAGTTCATAACCCGACTTAGAAGGACGTTATTATGTCTAGTCAATATTTCACCTTTCCCATTACAGGTGACAAGATTTATGGGACTTTTTAGAAAATTGATTTTGTCAATGGTTGTTGTTCAGCAACGTGCAGTCATCCATTTAATTGTGCTCCAGAAGAAGAAGCTGAAGGATTATGAGGTGCAGGGTAGCGTCTCACGAAACCGTCATAAGTACAACTTCACCGACATCCCATTGAAACGTGTGTTAAACTTAATTCAAGCATTTCAATGGATGTCGCTGAACTTATACTTATGACGGTTTCGTGAGACGCTGCCCTGGTGGCAACAGAAGGGGACATTGCTCTCGCCACCTCCACAGTAAGAAATAAGCAGCTCTTTTCAAAGCTGATGGGGGAGAGCATTGATGAAACCCGACGCAGTGGTCACCGATCCATCTTCTCTTTCTCTTAACCTTTTATCTGAAAAGGCTATTATTATTTATGTCGATATCTAATAGTGTAACTTAACGCTATGTCTATTATTATATGGCTATCAATCAATAATACTTCTATATAGATAGCTAACCCATGTAACCCGCATCACGTTTCATCCCTCTCTCTCTGTCTCTCTCTGTGTTTCTCTGTGTCTCTGTGTCTCTGTGTCTCTGTGTCTCTTTCTCTCTTCTCTATCTCTCTCTCTCTCTATTTATCCCGAGATCCAACTTTCCTACCTTCATCATGGCCATCCTCTATTCCTTCTTTCATGATAAAAATGTCCATGTACATACATCATAATACATTCGCGTTGTAGCCAATCAAGCGTAGGCATGCAAGCACATAACAAATACAGATATTACAATGGAAACACATCTAGGCCTATACAGCATCACGCTGCATCCCTGGCTGCCATCCCGTTGCTATGGCAACTAGCTCACTCATTCTATGCCTCGCTCGCACTTATTTCGTCGTCATTATTAGGGTGTTGGGTGTAACAAACGTCTATATTTAGCATCAAGACAGTAACAATTTTGTGAGCATGCAGTCGTAATTTCTTATCAAAATGATTTTCAACATCTGTCAAAAATTCCTTGTTAGAAGCCATCTTATAATCGCCACCATAGTTTGCCTTCATGCACTCTCTCCTACTCACTCCCCTCCAAAAATCTCTCTCATTTCTCGTTCATCTTTTACCATTTAAAAACGACACTTGATGGGGAAAATAAGACAATGACGGTATGCATAAAACATTATATTATATTGTTTAGCTTTGCATGCATGCTTACACAAAATCCATATATTACATGTATTATGAACCCTTACTTTAAGCGTACACATCTTAATGAAGTCAAATCGACAATCTAGAAGGCTACCTCTTTGTAAAGGCCACCTGACAACAGTGGCCACTTAAGTTTTCCTTGCGTCGCCCCGATAGAGGTACTACAACTGTTTGTATGTTATTCACGTAACACACGAACAGTTTTCTTTAACAGAAGCTACATTATTCTTGGACCACTCTTGGGACTCTGTCCATAATAACTTACCCCTTGACCAGCGCTGTTGTGGCGTGTAGAAGACCCCTCGTACGTAGCTATACAGCTTCCGCGGTAGTGTGACTAAAAACGACATGGTCCTTCGAAACACACTTCCTCTTCCCTTTGACGACGTGGGCGATGGTGGATCGTTGTTGTTCGATTCGGACTCATCGTCCAGCTCGTCCTCCTCTTCGACGATCACGTCATCCGTGTCCAAACACCGCTTCTCTTTCCTCTTCGGTCGCTGCTGCAGCTCCTGTTTCTCCTTATGATGATGGTTATTCTCGTTATGCTGCGGAAGCTCGTCCCTGTCTTCAGAGTTCTCTCCAGCGCTTCCACCGCTATCCTCTCCGCCTTTGCTTACGGCTTGGTATGCTACGTCTGTTCTTGTCATGTTGCAGAAGCTCGCTTGCGATTACAAAGAAAGATGGGGATGATGCCAGTGATGACGTAATACACTTCCAGTGTTTCTTTCTTTCTCTCTTCCTAGATAGAGATGCTCGCCCTATTCGCTGCTATACCGTCGCACAATGGACTGCGTAGAATGCAGACAGCTATAATTGCATTTAACGATGCTTAATATGATATTTTGACTCGGTTCGCGGTCACAGTCAAACCTTATGGAGTTATAACAGTATCCATTCGTGTGTGTGTGAGGAATGTTTGTGTGTATCTCCGTAGCAGTACGTGGCGTCTTGTGGAGAAGAGAAACAGAGAAATAATACAACACAAATAATTAACATGCATGCCAGATATGCTCTGTTTGACACCTATTATATGTTGTTTTACACCTAGACTAGATGTAAGGTGCGATTACCGGTGCGATTAACCACATTGTTATTTTTATAAAAAAATATTATTTTGGAAGTTGGTTTCGTGTGACGGTGTAAATGTTTGAATAATGAATTTTGCACGTAGAGAGAGAGAGAGAGAGAGAGAGAGAGAGAGAGAGAGAGAGAGTGGGAGAGAGAGTGTGGGAGAGAGAGAGAAAGAGAGAGAGAGAGAGAGAGAGGGAGGGGTTAATAGGATGAAAGAGAGAAAAACATAAATGAATAATAATAAAGATGGCGAGTCAGCGTGGAAACAAAGACACGTTAGAAGGGGGTAATGATGCTCTAATGTCTCGATATTAGATACGAGGAGGGGGTGTAAGCGAAAGAGTGTGCACATGAGAGAGAGAGAGAGAGAGAGAGAGAGAGAGAGAGAGAGAGAGAGAGCGAGAGAGAGCGAGAGAGAGAGAGCGAGAGACAGAGAGAGAAAAGAAAGGCGGAAAGATAGAGAGGGAGAAAATAGAGAGAGAAAGAAAGACGGAGAGATATATAGTAAGAGAGGGTTGTGGAGAGCGAGCGAGATAATACTTATAGAAACATGGAGAGAAAGAAAGAAAGACAGAGGAATTGGGAATCAGACTACTTTATAGTCATATGAAAGTCATTATAAGGACAACTAGGATAATCCGAGATCACCGACCCTTTAGTTCACACGAGCTTCCTAGTAAATATATGACCAAAAACAAAAACGAGAGTCATGCGTATACATCGTTTGATCGTTTTCCCATGGCGTCTTCGAGAGCAACACCAACAAAAAGATATGCTAGTTATGACGAATTTAAAATCCCCATTTTCATTGTATTTATCAGAGTTTGTATATCAGTTTGACATTTACAATCGCGTTTCACCATCGATCTTTATAACGAGCCATCATGACACATTCAATCAGGAAATCTAACATAGAATTTAAATTACCAACCCTTAACTTTTATTGTTATTAATAACATTTGGAATATGACAAATATTCGAAGACTTTTTTCCTTCATGGTTTTGCCACTATTGTAGTAAAATATGCTCGAAGTTTGAGTACTGGGTATAATAATACGGGGGAAAGGATTATACTTATAAATCAAAATAAATTGTTTGGACTTTGCTCTTGAAATAATGATGAACGTTACCTGTATACAGATGGTTGAAAGACGTGAAATGTTTTCTGCTAAATTAAGAAATCAACTACCTTCAGCTGTAAATGTTATCATGAAATGGAAAAATATATATATCAAACGAATTTCAAAGACGAGAAAAAAGTAAAGAAATGGTTACATTTTAGAGCTTTGACACCGTGAAAATAATGGAAATGATTATACATTTCACTGTGCATTTTTTTTTATGACATGTGTTGAAATATCCATGTTGTCATTTTTGTATTACTCTGTCCCTAAGTCTTGGGCCGCGATGATCATGATCATTATTTAGCCATTAAATATGGATATCATTTAATAGAATATTTGTATATTATCTGTGGAAATAATGATCGAACCTGATAAATTTATTTACAGAGCACTGTGGAAGGGGTATAGATATTGTATGTGTGTATTGTGTGTATTGCGTTTATTAAACATCATTGATGTACATCAATATTCTGTTTATAGACATAGTTATAATCACTTTACAATGTAATGCAACAATCGATATATAAAACATAATATAAAACATTTACAACACCTTTCTAAATAAACAATAAGTCATGCAATACGAAATATGTAAATGAGAACTAAAACAAAAGCATAAGATTGTACACGACTACTTTGTTATAACATATAGTATCTAAAAATTACCCCTCATTGCAATTATGTTTTTGGTGAACAAAGAAAAACTATCTATTACAACTTCATTATCTAATCTCATTATAAATATGAATTTTTCTTGACTATCCAAATTACAAACATTTTCTTCCAGATTACTAATTGTTTCTATAAAATCTACTCGTAAATCTTTATACTTGTCACATTTCATAATTATGTGTATGCGACATGTTATTCTTATTCTGCAGTTGATCGTCAACGGTGTAGAAACGTCAATAATTCTCTGGCAAATTAAATGTTCGACATGTACAAGGACTCTAGAATTAGGCTTGCCCTTTAAACCACATAAAGGTTTAGATCAATAATTTTGATATCCATAGATTTGTTTTGAAATGTTTGTTACATAAATATCAAAGAATATCAGAAACAAATCCATCGGGGCCAAGGACTTTGTTTTAAATCATAAATTCTATATTTAATAATAATGTGTGACGTGTGCCCAAATCGGTAATCAGAATATGTTTGAATGCAAAGGCGACAGTGTCATTTTATCTAAATAGTATTGGCAGAAAATGACCATCTAATTTTGAAGTGAATACTCTTAAATTACGTACACCTGTATTAAGTCGGACGTAATTTTATTAAGGATTTTTCGGATCGTGGAGGAGTTAGTTTAAGGCCTCTACATAGGGAAACTATTGAAAGAATTTGCAACATATTTGTGACTGTTTTTGGCGGTTAACTCATACACATACAGTACGCAGGATGAGTCGATGATGCTAAGTGAAACTGAAAACTTTGACCATGGATTATCAATCAAATCAATTCGTGTGTCGGCCTAATCTAGCACCAATATCAATTTCTGAAATATCCATTACTCAGAAAAGAGTAACCTCATATATACGTATTTAGTTTACCGTGACATCAAAACGGGGTATTAAAGTTATCGTTTTTAAAAGTTAGGTATATATATATTTTTAAAGGAATTTTGTCCCATTCTTTTGAATATGAAATGGTCTTTTACCTCATTCTTACAATGATTTGTTTTGAGAGTGATTTACTTCCGACTTGTGATAAACTAACATTAAAAAAAAAAAGTTATGGTATTTCTCTATAAAGCTTAGCAACTAATTTGTCTATAGTTTAATTTTTTAAATCTTAATTGTATAATCGATATATACTAAGCTAGGCCAACATAGCCATTGTGGAAAGTCGTGATGTAAACGACAATGCTACCCTGTGAACATACAACTCCAAATAGATAAATAAATCAGATATAATATCTTTGTATACAAGAAGGAACGATGATCCACACATTTTTCTTAAATAAAGATTAGGAAATTAAAAATGCATTCTGTTTATAAGCATATTTCCTTTTTGCTATATATAGGATTATTCTGAAGAAGAAAAAACTGTCTGAAATGTGAGCTCCGGCAAATATGCCCACATCCTGTAATATGAACGAAACAAGAATTCCAAGTTACGTCAATTGTAATTCAAGGAGGATTCTAATTCGGTAAATTTAGAACTTTCGTTAATATTGGAGGCATTAATGAATCAAATTGTCAAACTGTTATCTATACTGAATAGTGTCATATATGTAATAAATGCGATGCCATAAATAAAATTCATCTAGCCTTGTCTGGGGACTTTAATACTGTTCCTTACTTTCGGTCTTAAAATAAATTTCTTTGTATTATTGTGTTAATTAATAAAGAATGACATAAATGTAGACAAGATATCCCTTGTACGCGTAATGAATTATAATGAAATTATTTGATTTTAAACCATGGAGGAAAAGTTAGATGATTAGATGTACCACATTATATTTGTTATGCTATTGGCACACAGGCTATATTGAAAACAGCATTAGAACGGGAGCCAGTAAAAATACAAATTCTGACTTTTGCGGTTCAGTATTTTTGATGTTTGCTTTTATTTTGCCGCTGTTTTGGATACGTGGAAATTTAATCAAATTATTTATACTTTATATGTTAACAATCCCATACCTGTAAGATTATGATATTTTATCGAACTCATTTAAATTCTCAATTTGGAATGTTGAGAATAAGTGGGATAATTATTGGTGAATAATGCTTGACGCATTAATCTGATTAAACGTATTCCAAGTATTCTATTGATATTGGCAACTTCAGTAGCTCATAACAAGTGTTGTTTACTGCGCATTAATATTCAACTTCCTCAAATGTTTTCCCCACTTCATCTAACCGACAAACAATTGCCAAATTTAAATAGGTACACGTATGTGAATGAAAGCACGTTTGGCAGCGCCTTTAGATTCAAGTCCCAAATATCTTTGCAATCAAAAGGAAATGTCTAAATCGGCAATGTTCTGACGAAAATGTAAATTTATCAACCCAGCGACCCCCCCCCCCCGAAAAAACCTTAATGTTATGATGCCTTTTGTAGGAAGTGTGATTGCAAAGAAAAAAATGGAAAAAATATACATTTCATGGTCTTGTGCTTTTGAAAAGAAAATGAAATTGAAAATGATTTTGTCTTTATGTTTGAAATACCGAATATTTATAACATCATAAATCTGATAATTGTAAATGATCTAGGGTAGCTGCCTCGTAATTAGGCTATATATTTTGCGGCAATCTGTCATGTTTGTGTCTAATGGTTTTGAACAAAAAGAGGCAATTTCGTTTCTTGGCAGGCAATTTACATCTTCCCCCAACCATGAAAGGCAAACATCAAACTCCGCACACAGATTTTCAGGGAGTTCCCCTCTTCCCGATGATGTCATCGCACATGTAAGGATGAATGTGAAATACGTTGTGTGCATGAAGAGAAAGCATGAACGCTTTCCATATTTAGGTATAATACAAGGGATTTTCAATTACATACTGCTCTATCAATTTAAATGAATAAGGTGGCAATTTTACATCAATATTTAGAGCATGAATCATGCATTCTATACTATACAAATGCTTTGGAGGAAATTGCTGATGTTTACAAGATTTGTTCTCAACTTTAACAATATTTAGAGCATGAATCACGCATTCTATACTATACTATGATCAAAGGAGAAATATGTACGGTACGTGATTTTCTACAAAGTCGTTGTGAATCAATTAGGAGCAATGACGTCATTATGTGAGCTCCGGGGAGGGTATGTTCCAACAGACAAAAGAGGGGTAGAAACAAATAGAAATCAAGATGAAAAGAGAGAGATTTGTGCAAAATAAACATGAATGGCAAATGATACGACCCCTCAGACCCCCCGTAAGACCTGTGCCCCCCAGAATGACTAGGCCCGTGCTATGCCACTGTGGTCATTGTGTAGTATATGCATGGTTGGTCGTTGTATGCTCATTACTCATTTAATGTCTGTGTACACACCTGAAATATTGATATTGCAAACTCGTTGTCACCCCGATTAATACCATAACTGAAAGCGAAACATCATCTACGATTCATTAACTTACACTTACAATTACAGGTGTA